GCACATCTGTTTCGCATTGCACTTCAGCAGCTCTCCCCGCTTGGTGACCCAATCGTCATGTCCTCTCTGTAGAACCGCAAAACAGGGTCCCACCTTTGCGAGTGCTCGCCGTCGTCCCTGACGCCATATCATGACAGGTTCGCCTCAGTAAACTGGCGCCTTCCGATGTCTCGCCTTGGCCACCCGTTCCTTCGTCTCAGCCAAGCGGAGGCGCAAAGGTGGATGCGAAAAACGCATGCCAAAACCAAGAAAATGCGAAAATCTCCTAAGCGAGAAAACGAACACAAGATCTACAAAACGCGAAAACGCAGGAAACCAGCACAAATAGCAACAACAGCAATAATAATGATTAGTAAGGGTACCAACAGAAAGAGGAGAAGTAAGGGCACGAGCACGAGCCAGAGCCAGAGCCAGCACAAGGGCAAGCGCAAGGGTGCAAGGGCGAGAGGGCACAAGAGCGCAAGGGTGCAGGAGCGCAATTAAGGGCGCAAGTAAGGGCGCAGTTAAGGGTGCAATTGAGGGCGTAAGGGCGCAAGGGCGCAAGAGGAAGAGGAATCGAGTAAGCACGGAGTGAGAGTAAGATAAAGATTGAAAGCAAGAGCCAGAGCAAAGTTAAGAGCAACAGTAATAACAGCTTCAATCGTAATAGTAATCGTAATAGTACCAGTACTTGCAATAGTAAAAGCAATAGCAAGCAAAAGTACTAGGAATTGTATTGCAATATTAGCAAAGGTAGTAGTGGTGATCATAGTAGTAATAGTAGTAGTAGTAGTAGTAGTAGTAGTAGTAGTAGTAGTAGTAGTAGTAGTAGTAGTAGTATAAGTAGTAGTAGTGGTAGTGGTAGTGGTAGTGGTAGTGGTAGTGGCAGTGGCAGTGGCAGTGGCAGTGGCAGTGGCAGTGGCAGTGGCAGTGGCAGTGGCAGTGGCAGTGGCAGTGGCAGTGGCAGTGGCGTGGCAGTGGCAGTGGCAGTGGCAGTAGCAGTGGCAGTGGCAGTGGCAGTGGTAGTGGTAGTGGTAGTGGTAGTGGTCGTGGTCGTGGTCGTGGTCGTGGTGGTGGTTGTGGTTGTGGTTGTGGTTGTGGTTGTGGTAGTGGTAGTGGTAGTGGTAGTGGTAGTGGTAGGGGTAGGGGTAGGGGTAGGGGTAGGGGTAGGGGTAGGGGTAGGGGTAGGGGTAGGGGTAGCGGTAGCGGTAGCGGTAGCGGTAGCGGTAGCGGTAATAGCGGTAGCGGTAGCGGTAATAGCGGTAGCGGTAATAGCGGTAGCGGTAATAGCGGTAGCGGTAATAGCGGTAGCGGTAATAGCGGTAGCGGTAATAGCGGTAGCGGTAATAGCGGTAGCGGTAATAGCGGTAGCGGTAATAGCGGTAGCGGTAATAGCGGTAGCGGTAATAGCGGTAGCGGTAATAGCGGTAGCGGTAATAGCCGTAGCGGTAATAGCGGTAGCGGTAATAGCGGTAGCGGTAATAGCGGTAGCGGTAATAGCGGTAGCGGTAATAGCGGTAGCGGTAATAGCGGTAGCGGTAGCGGTAGCGGTAGCAGGCGGTAGCGGTATAGCGGTAGCGGTAATAGCGGTAGCGGTAGTAGCGGTAGCGGTAATAGCGGTAGCGGTAATAGCGGTAGCGGTAATAGCGGTAGCGGTAATAGCGGTAGCGGTAATAGCGGTAGCGGTAATAGCGGTAGCGGTAATAGCGGTAGCGGTAATAGCGGTAGCGGTAATAGCCGTAGCGGTAATAGCGGTAGCGGTAATAGCGGTAGCGGTAATAGCGGTAGCGGTAATAGCGGTAGCGGTAATAGCGGTAGCGGTAATAGCGGTAGCGGTAGCGGTAGCGGTAGGGTAGCGAGTAGCGGTAAGCGGTCATCGGTAGTGGTGGTGGTAGTGGTAGTGGTAGTGGTAGTGGTAGTGGTAGTGGTAGTGGTAGTGGTAGTGGTAGTGGTGGTAGTGGTAGTGGTAGTGGTAGTGGTAGTGGTAGTGGTAGTGGCAGCAGCAGCAGTAATAGTAGTAATAGTAGTAATAGTAGTAGTAGTAGTAATAGTAGTAATAGTGCCCTCGGAATGAAACCAAAAGGGGATCCGTCTTCTCCGTCAGCTCCTAACGGCTTGGCTGCAGGGTTCTTCCCCGCTTCGTGCATTCCGGACATGGCACTGCAGTAAGTATCAAAACCGCACGAACCCTAGTAGCACACTGTGCAACACCAAGAGACTCGCTTAAAGGCTTACTCACTTGCTGTCTCAATTGTCCCTCAATCCACTCCTGCTGCTCACGCTCAAACGCTTCATTCAATTGCTTGAGGTGACATGAATTCCCCCGCGCATGCGTTCTGCTCCCCCGCTCAACCAACCCTCCTCCTTTGCTGCATCACCTACTGTCTGCCTCGATTTACTCAGTCACATGAGCCCAAAAGATGGCTGCCGGAAACTTGGGCCGCGACTGCTTCCTGCTAGAGCCCTTGGATCGTCTGCCCATCCTGCAGACTGATGTAGATGGCAGGCAGTCAAGTGTTTCAGGGGTTTGCACGCCCGGACATGTGCCGTTCTGACATCGAGAAACTCCGGTCGGACATCGCAAAGACACAAATATATTTGTAGTTTGTCCAGGTTATCTTGTCGATGTCCGGGGTGATATCCTAGTGCGCGAATCTGCTCCGAAATCACACGAAGAGGACGACGGCATAATGAACCCAAAGCCGAACACGTAATATTAACCGTCAAGCCTGAAAACCTATCCTTGGGCTGGAGGCATTACAGGCTTAGGGATTCTAGAATGCTGATAGAACCGAAGACAGCATAGGTCACATCTGCCGGCAATACTGGCCAAACTCTCGGCGCCTCCTTCGCAACTTGAACGCGGTATAACAACCTTTTGCGTGGTAACCAGCACAAACCCTGAACCCTGAGACATTCAGAACGGCTCCTTCACAAGAGGCTAGGGCTGCTGGGAGGCTGGGCAAAAAGGCTGCGGATGTGCACTTTAGGCCATCCTCGTACACTGCCCTAGCGACAAATTAAAAGCCACAAAGGCTGCCGATGTTGTAAGTGCAAGGCAAGGATCCACGCTCCACATGAGGGGCAGGAGCAGAATGTATGCAGGCAAACTCGGGGCTGCATGCGATTCTTTTGGTTCTGCCACAGTCAGTGTCAAACCGGCATCTTTCACTCGTCGCAGCGTCATGCCTTTTCAGATACCTTGGCAAGGACAGTGCTGCATGTTCTGCTCGGCCCGTAGGAAACGAAAACTGTGAACGAAACTTTCGCAAACATCCCGCGTGCACAAACACGCAGGCAGCTGCAAGCCTGCAGCTCGGAGTCCAGCTTAACCGTCACCACCTGCGGGTGCAATGCACGCGCGAAGCACCATTCGTGCTCGGAGCCACGCCTTCGAGTCATGTGTCTGGCCTTACACCGTGCAGAAAACATGAGTAGAGAAAGAAATAGCTGCTTCACGCTACAAGACTGCTTGGAACTCAGTGCACGAAGCAATAGCAAGATTGCATCCTTCAGGCTAGCACCGCTACGAAGATGTGGCCGTGCCGAGCTGTCAGATCTCGATCTGTGTTCCTCTCACAGACAATCGACAGCCCATGCACATGGTGGTGACTCATCTGCACCTCACTGGCCTGCTGAGACTCTGCAGAAGAATCCTGTCACTCAAGAAACAGAGCTGCATGAGTCTCTGCTTCGTCATCGGGGACATTGATTGGATCGTGGCCTCCTGGTCACCGTGGTCCTATCCCAGCGAGTGACAGCATGGAGTGAACGGAGTGCACAGCCGAGAAAGAGATCAGCTGCGAGCAGCATTCCTTGATGTAGCTGTCGATCAAATCATCGGTGTGTCCTGAAGTGTCTCATTGAGAATCAGGTAATACAAGCTTCGCAGCGACAGTGAATACACTCTCCTCCACGGAAACATATGCAGTGGTTCGCACAATTCTTAGCTCGTAACTCCTCAAGTTCCGCTTTGCCCAAAGGCCCCAAAGGCCCTGGCCTTCTCCGCTGGAAGCGAGCGCCTCGGGACCCCGGCCCGGAGCTTCTGAAGGAACCTTTATATTTCGTAACCCTGTAAAGGAACCCAGGGGCTCCGAAACGCTCCAAAAGACACGCACGAGCTCTCGGGGCGGGGAACCGTGGCATTCGCCAGAGCCATGGACAGGACGGCGGCCCTCGGCTTGAAATTCTCTCTGCTAGAACCGCACCACGGAGCAACCTCAGAGCAGGACAGAGCCAAGCGAATCATTCCTGTGGCCTCAACCAACGATGGAATTCATCAACAGCTCATCTCGCAGTACATGTAAGCACAAGGCAGTATTCAAAGAACTATCGAGGGAGACTTTGCTGTTCACGGACTGAGCACTCAGCCATGGCGAACCAGGACTTCGTTCTGTTGGGACGTGGAGCCCTGCTCTGTGAGCCCCTTCGTGGGAACCAGCAGGATCCGTCGCTGCAACTGCTTCATGCGCGATGTTGTAGCAATGACTGTCACATGGAAGACTTTTCCGAAAGTCAATGATCTGCAAAAAGCGGTCTTGGCAGCTGTCAAATGGCAGACGATGATCCACAAAATTACTTATACCGCCTCAACAATTTGAATCTGTAGCGACAGCTTCCAGGCCTGCTTTCGTCTCTGAGGCTTTGTACAAGTTCCACAGCTCGCACATATGCGGGTGCCAAGCCAGCCACCGTAGCCGATGTTTCTGGCATGTCGTCAAGACGCATGGCACGATGTTCATTCACGGTTCATAACTTCTGTTACGCTTAGGCAAAGGCTTCCTGTGTTGCCAGGCTTTCTTTGACACGTTGCTATGTCCTGACAAGCCTTCAAAGTGCTTATGAGATTGCACAAGTGCCTATTTCCCACTTTACGACTGGCTGACGCTGACACATGCTGACACGACGTGAAGCGAATCAAGCGGAGATTATCTCCAGCTGAAAATTTTCGGCACTAAGCCAGCAGGGCATCGATTCATCGATGAAACCATGTCCTACTCACCTGCGTCCAATCCTGGCTCTCAAAGGCTCGGTCCATGACCTCTCGTGTACGTTGCGCAGTGATTGCAGTACAAGCACGACGAAGGCAAGAAGGCCTCTTGGAGAGTACTTCTTCCGCACCTTACTGACGTGTCGCTTGGCATAGAAGTCCCTGGCCACGTGAACACCCGCTGCAAGGGCCATGCCAGTGCACCGCTCTGTTTCATTAACATGTCGGGACGGCGACACTGGGCGGTCTTTCTCACGCTTCAACTGAGGAGGTCCTCGTCAGGATCGAGGCTAAGGCGGGTAAGGCGTGCTCGCGCACAGCGGAGCAGTCCAGCGGGTTGCTGCTCTCTCTTTTCGGACTCGGGCTTGTCCTGAGGGCCGCATGAACACAAACAGCGCTGGAACATGTTGAAACCAGAGTCCTTGTCCGACCAAGAACCATTATATCTTCGCCTCTTGCTAGAACGAGGCATACATGCGGGACAGAGGCTAGCGCAGTTAAGGTTGCGCTCAGGTCGCAACACCCAGAAAGGGTTCAAATCTTGCGGCGGATGCCAGGCCCACATTCCGCCCGCGGTGCCCACAAGAAATTCCCTGCATCGAGAGGCTGTGAGGCTCGAAAGAAGACTCCACGCAAGTCTTCACAACTTTGCATGACATCGTTTCCGCTTCTGACCCTTGCAAAGGCACGTTGTATGACTTGCCAATGACAGGTTGGGGGTTATGATTCGAAAAGATACAGCTGGTTTGACAATGTTTCGGCTGGAGGCTTAAGTCTCCAGGCAGCACGAGAAGCTATTTGTTGAAGCCCATGTCTTGTCGGCGGTCCGCTTAGCGACCTGCAAAGTCGCAGGGCATCGCGTCGTGCCGAGCGCCGGTGTGGAGAAGATGATCTCCCTACACAATCACACTGCGCCTCGGCAAGCCCGTTCTTCGTCTGATCAACTCGGGTTCGTTCTCGTACTTGCAAACATCTCACTCTCTGCCCTAAGCGGCTCACTTCCAAGTCTGCCTTCGCTGTCATCATCAAGCGTGCGGCATCGCTTTTGCTTGGTCTATAGAGTGAGAGGGTGGAAACACTTTGCCCTCGGCCATGGTCGTCGTGTCACTGAGGCATGTTCTGCGTTCCTACTTGCACACATCCCAGTCTCCGCCCCAAAACGGCCCGCGTTTGACCGATGCCATATGTGCCTTCGCTGCAGTGCGCCATCTCCGGGCGGACCGTTACGAGGGCGGTCCCTCTGCTCGGAGACGGGTCTGACTCAACTGATCAACATCTAGAACCCAGTATGCGGCTCTTGGCTCCTACTTTGTCAGTCACAGTGTCCGAAACTTCGGGCGAAATCCACACGAAAAGACGGCTGGTTGGCTTGGAGGAAGTACCGGCCGGCCGTGTCAATGCGTGTGTGTGTGTGTGTGTCTGTGTACATGTTATGTGGTCTTGTGTGTCTCTAACCCGGAAACAGCGATTCCTTTTGACTCCTTATCATGCCTAGCTTCATCATGTGGTCCACCGAAACATACACGAGGCTGAAACTGCAACGTAGCAAGTTCTGACAGAAACCTACGTGCACAGTACAAGACAAGAAAATGGAACAACAAAAAAGAAAAGTGGAGCAAAATCGAACAGTCACGGAGAGGTAAAACAGTAGACAACAAAACTTGCAGAAGCATAACACGGAAAGACTGAAATCACACAGTAGGAAATCTTGAGAATCTGAAATGCTGGAAAGGCTAACAAGTCGCTACTGAGTGAACTAGCCGCGCAAACCCTCGCCGAAACAAGCTCTGACGGGTCGTATTTCAGCTGGCTTCCAGCAGTGACTGGAAAACTCATGCCTGTTCCCTTTCTCAAACATCTCCTGGTGGGGGGACAAACCCTGAGCCCCACAGAGGCAATGATGGGTGGCAAACCCCAAGCCGAAAATGGTGAGTCGCAAGCCCTACGCTTAGACTTAAACCCTAGAAGAAGATGGTGAGCAGCACACGAATGCCAGTAGTCTACTATAGTAGTCTGCTAAAGCAGTCTACTGCAGTTTACGATAGTAGTATACCATAACCGTATACGTTTGTAGTATATGCTGGTAGTATACGAAAGTAGCATAAGATAGTAGTAAACGATAGTAGGATACGAAAATGGTATGCTATAGCCGTAAAATTACAATATTGGTGTGCTGGTATACTACATTGCTGCAATATCTTATTCTACCATGGTTATAGACTCAGTCGTAATGCTGTAGTAGAGTACTACCCCGGAAACCCCTGAGCGCTAAACCCTAAACCCTGAACGCTGGACCTTGGGAGACCCGAAAGCGGTCGGACCAGGAGCAATGGTTGGTAAGTCTTCTGTGATCCTTTCAGCTCGGTCTATCTGGCCACTAGGCTTCCAAAACGGCGGGTGGATGTAGAGATGTGATCAACAAGTGATGTCCAGACAAGTGCGGAATGTTGTCAGCCCGTGTATCATGAGTATCGAGAAGCACACACGGGTACAGACACAGTATTCAGTGAAACTGTGTGGAATGAAATGAGCTAATGCAGAGACATCTCTTCATGAATTTACAACTGGAAGATTGAGTCGTTTCTCGCTGCTGTTGACGTCCCGGAGCATTCGCCGAGCTCAAGGTAAGCTTGGTAGTGGGAATTTGGGAGCCAAGGGCTGGCGAAGGGATTAGGTCTGGTAACTTACGGTACTGCCACGAGAAAATGCTAGCGCTACCCTGTCCTGGACTCGCAAGACCGCGCCTCAAAAGATTCAAGAAAATAAATGCGCTGCTCCAAACAATTAGATGGCCCTTCACCTCGGCACACAAGAAATTCTCATGTTGTGTGACAAGTTCAGTGTTCCAGCATAGCCACCAAGAGCTGAACCCGAGTATAGGTATCAAACTTCGGTTGCTCCGAATGCCTGAGCAGAATGCATCACTGGAGTTCGTCACAACAAAGGTGTCAGGACCAACATGGCCAACCGATCTGCAGACGAATCACGTAAACTGTCGATTCACGGTACGCCAATCGGCAGACCTTAGGCAATAAGCTTGAACCGTGAAGCGTGCAAGCTGCTTGTCCTGTCCTGCCCCTTCTGGGTGGCAGGACTGGAAGTGCGGGTGCCACGACACATGCGCAGCACCAGTTTGCGCACCTGACAGGACAAACGAAGCCAGGCTGCACGTAGCCCCTGCCCTCCTAACGATCTTGCGCCTGGATTCAAGTCGACCACTCGTGCCCGCTCTACAGGCTGAACCTTCTGTTCAGACCAAGGATGAGTGGAGAACTGCTTAAGCCACACTGAGGCAACAGCTCCTGCTTCAAGGAGCTTGAGGGCCTTCACACCACAAGCGGGGTCACTGCATGAAGCGCACAGCAAGCTGTGCATTATGCTCAGGCAGGATGAAGCCGATGAAGCCCTCTTAGGCAAATGCCTCGTTGAACTCTGTGCTGAGTTTCACAAACTTCTTCTCAGCTTCAGCTTGTTCATCACGTGGAGCTAGATCAGGGTGCTGCTCCTGGATCCAAGCCATCACTTCATTTCACTTCGACTCCTACTTTCAGGAAGCAAACACGAGCGGGCCTTGGCTTTGTCTCTGTACGCTGCCTTGAGGAACGAAATTGCAGACTTCGACTCCTGCAAGGGTTTGCGGTGACCAGATCGGATCCCCAATGGTTGGCTCGGACTTCTATGGCTCCTGTTTTGAGATCTCGACCGGACACAAGCCGAAACCACGCAGCCTCAAGTCATCTTCAGCCCCCGCAGTTCCAGAGCATCCAACTTGCCCAGGCGCAAGGATGACAGGCGGACAGCTTTCAAACCTCGCAGGCAAAGCTGATCTTCGCACGAAGCATGACAGCTCTAGGTGCCAGGCTGGGTCTCATGAGGCGACGGAGCGTCGGCTCTACATCTTCGACTCGCAAAGAACAGCCCTTTCTCTGGAGCTTACAGAAGTTTGTGAGACTTCTTCTGGAGCGACCTCCGCACAGCAAACATATCTAACTTATCTAACTTTCAAGTTTGGCCAAAGTCATTCCTTGGCAAGCAACTGTGCCCAAGAAGAAACGAAGTCGAATTGAGACGCAAGGCCACGAAGCCAGCCCTACGACGGAGAACGAACAAACAGGCCAGTATCCACATGAAGATCTGTGGGGAGGAGACTACGAAGTTTCATCAAACAGAATAATGTTGGAGTGGATCCAAGCACGCTGAAGTAGCATACCATCCTGAAATGCATAAACAACGTGCAGTTGCACGAGCTTGAGCAGATCTGCAATAAGACCGCGCACGCGAACGCTTGGCGTGCACCCTGCGCACATGCCCGCAGTACAACATCTGGGCATCTCTGCTGCAGCAGATCTTTTTGTCACCTGCAGTCCTACCTCGTGCAGCCAAGTCCAGCCGAGCAGCTGGTGCAGAGCATGACCTGATCGCGATAGGTAGCAGGACGCATGAAGTTGGCACCGGTTCACGAACTTGAATGAGGGCTGTGCAGTTGCGGTCTTCGGAGAGCAGTAGTCTGCCATCATCATGCACACAGGGGACATCTGACTACCCTCCTGAGGGCCGCTGCTATGCGGTACAGCAAAACAGGGCAGGCTCTCCCTCGGGAATGCTGCTCAGGGCCTGCGGCAAACTTAACTGTCAGATTCTGATTAGATCCATCGCTTTGTGGAGCTTGCCTATTGCACTACACATGGAGTTTGCCAGTGTCCTTCAGTTCAAGCTCATCATTGTCACCAGCATGGCCACTCTCACGATATCGTTCAACGACACGTGCGCACCTCGGAGATGAAAATCTCAACATCTTTCAACCTTGAAGCCCCATTTTCGGTCCTACTTGGAATGGTATCCTGAGGACGCCACAGACGCTTCCAGGGCATCGCGCCCGAGGTCAGTTCTTCATCAATTGCACGCTTCCAACCTCGGAAACATTCGGCTTCAGGCCAGCCGAGCCATCTTCAGCTACTGCTCCTATACTTTTCCCTGCCTGGCCAAGCTTTCGCCTGGGACGTGCAGGACGTGAAGGGGCTCTGCGAAGGGGCTCTTCCAGGCAGCCCTGCCCGTGCCTTCGGCGTCTTCGCCGGTTCGGTTGCCGCATGTCCTGTCACGCAAGAACCTTCAGTTGCTTTTCTCTTTGATTGGTGCAGTTGCGTCTGACGGTCAGTATATTGGGACATGCCAGCTCTGCGAGATGGCTTTGCGTCAACCGGCTTGGAGTTTGCAGCGGCTATAACATTCCACATGGCATCAATCCTCGGCAGGAAGGACGGCAAGCCCTCTTAATTCAAGAACCATCCGAGTCACCAACTTGGACTCATCCCAGACCTTCAGGGAGTTCTTGACCTGTTGTTTTGGAGGACTTGGAATGTAGTCTGCGAATGGAAGCACAACTCGGGCTTGCACGAAGTTACCAAAGGCCTTCTGCTTTCTAGGGATATTGTCAAAGCCTGAGTGCACGGCTTCAAGAAACATCAGCGAGCTCAGACGCAAATTCATCCAGCCAAACACACACTGTATCCGCACTTGTACTGGCTGACTCTGATATCTTGCAACCAAGCTGCCCAGCAACTTCTGCACCAAGCTCCTCGTCCGGATTCACTTTACAAACATGTCATGGCAAAATCCATCTAGACTCTAGACACCTTCCAAACTTGTCATCTGCCTTATCTGTGGAGCAACGTCCGTTTGTGGATCTTCGATTGCTCGCCGTACGCCATCAACCTGGATGCCCCAGTCAACATACCAAGAGCGGACACGGAACCTGTTCCGAAAAAGATCAAGACGGCACGCTGAGTCACAGACCCAAGAATCTTGCTTCAGCTGCCCTTTGTTGCTGCTCCTGAAGGCATGTTTGTCTGGACGCTCTTTGCCCTCTGAGAGTACATAATCACATTCAAGTGTTGTCTTCGAACTCTACTCGGAACCAACTTGGGCACATGCTCTTTGGCTTGAAAAAGGTTCCCCTGGCAGAAACAAAGACACAGTGCTGTTCTGCTCACACGGCTCCGGCACCGCTGCAGAGTCTGCTTAGCACTGAACACACATGACAGGAAAAAGTGATCTGTTTCCCGGGCCTGATACTTCTGTGCTTCTGATACACAGCTAGTGTGTGATTGCCACTCGTCCCAAGCGAAAACCTGCACTGAAGAGCCAGCGTGTGGATTTTCAACCTAAACTGTGGAAAATCACGCCTTGGAGCAATCGATGCAACTCACCGTCCAACTCCCACATCCTTGTACAGCACAAACTTTGCATCCAACTGCACTTGCCGACACAAACACCATGGTGACATGTCCCCGCAAAGGCCCTTTCTTTGCAAGTGCTGTGCCAGCTTGGGTTTTTTGACCTTGGCGTGTGGCTTAAAGCTCGCATGCGATACGTGCACACTGGATGCAAGCAAAAGCTGCTGACACATCGAAGTTCCATAACACTTCCAGACCGATGGTATCTTGCCAAGCACAAGATTGTCTTTTTGTTATCGTGCAGTCGCACCCACGGAACAAAACCCTACTCAATTGAATGCAATGCTTTCGCCAAACGCGAGTGCACATGCACTCTCCTCGAGTTCTGTGCCGGCGAACACCACAGCTGCCTTAACGCGATCGAGATGCCGTTTCGTTGCACCTGTCAGCACTGCTGCCGAATGTACATGCAACGCGGCAACACAGAGATTCACTCTGAGTATGTGACAATCCGCACTCGAAATACACCATGGCCGCATCACACTAAGATGTGGAGAGTGTCCCGCTTCTTCTGCAACCACGAAGCATGCTTCAGAACTGTTGTTGATCTTACTCAAATCCGACAAAGTCCCGTTCAACAGGTCCTCCAAGAGCGTCTTGCGCAGCTTGGACAACGCATCACTAACATGTCGCCTCTTATCCTGCGCTCTTGGAGCCGATGCAGTATCGAACATGCAAGGCAATAACCACCCAAGCACCATTCTGCAGCGATTCTCTCTTCCGAACATGCACCTACCTGCTTTTGTCATTGTCATAGCCCACGAAGCCGAACATGATTGTTGAAACTGTCTTGTGGGTTTGCCTGAGGCCTGAGGCTTCATTCGACTAAGCGTTCCCCGTCCGCATGTGGCCCAATGTGAGACACAGGCATAGGATGTGCCCACTGTAGGTACCGTTTGCCTCTAATGTTGCTTCGACTTGCTACCACCGGGGATACGACCTGGACGAGATTCAGACAGCCCATCGGGACATGGTTCTAATGAACTTTAGCAGAGGCTCGGATGAAACCCAGTAAAGCTTATTGACGACATGTCTGCATGCCACGGATCAGCAGAATGGCCCGCAGCTTCAGATGCAGCCCAACCTCAGGATCACAGGCCATGAAAGCACAAAACAAACTGCTTGGGCAGAGATACTTCTTGGCCGGGTGAAGCTTTAGCTGTACGTGCAAAATCTAAATCATCGCTGAAAGCGGATCAAGTAAATGCGTCGCATCATTCTAGTCGCTACGGGAAGCTTCAAACTTTCCAAGTGCGCACAGATAGGAAGAGCTGGCTCCAGATGCAAAACCATCAGAACCAAAGGTAAGCATCAGATGCCATGGACATCCATCTGTCAAGACGAAGCACAGAAGGGGTCCGAGAAGGAAGAGCTCCATGACGCTGCCGCCATATTGACCTGCATCTGATACATTTCCAAATTGCCAAAAGACGGGCTAACCCTTCAGCTCATGCGTGGAATGCGAACAGTATTCGCGCTAGACGAATTGGCCAGTTATGGTCCACAGGCTGCCGTTCGCCAACAACATCATCTCCGTTTTGCCGCTGAACAGCATACATGCGCTGGTGAATTTCAGGCGTGCAAAACATATCTAAGCTTGGCACCATCATCTTTTTGTAGAACCTCTCCCGCGGCCCTGGATGAGGCCGCCCCTGTCGCGCATCCCGGCTGAAAACATGGTCACTGCATGCAACCTCAAAGCAGAAGACCTTGTGAAACGTCGCTAGCTGACACATACTTTGCAACAGTAGTCGCTCCGTTTGGCCTGAGCCTTTTCTGTCCGCCATTTGCGCAAACGTTCCTGGCGCTGCTTGAACAAAGGCACTGATAAACTCTTTTGCATACGACTATATCTACCAGTGTAGCCATGGATCCCCCTAGATGCTTTGAACTTTGAATTGTCCCCCGAATGCTGCTTTGGGAGTGGTCGTAATGACTACTCAATGATACTGATAGGGAACCTTGGTGTTGCCTGTCTCCCACGGCTTTCCTCGGGGGAACCATTCTCTGTCGTGCAGGTGTTTTGTGGTCTTGAAAGTGCAGCTGCCTGTGTCTATGCCTGTCTGTATCTTTTAAGCCTTTGTTTTTCTAATTGGCCCGAGAACCCGCCTTCCGGCGCTCGTACCGCGACAAAGGCCAAGGAGCCTCAGTGCAGACTGTCAACAAACATGAAAGAATGACGTTTAGTTGTGCAAACAACGAGGTTCTCCACAACCCTCAGGCACCCTTTCATGAGAAGACCAGACTGCAATCAATACGTTATACAAAGCAAATATCCCTCGCACGAACATTCGCAAAGCTCACTGTTCAGCACTCAAAGCAGAACGGACAAAGAAATGCTCATTCCGCTCCGCGGCGGGGTCGAACTCGCTGGGTGGCGGATCCTCTGCTGACAGCAAGCGAGCTTGCGAGCACCATCCATGCATGCCTTGAATCTGAAAACACGAACGATTCATGGGCAGTCCTCACAGATCTGCGGCATATCCTGATGTGGGGGCCCCACCGGACCCTTCCGCTGGAAGTAACGGAAGCCTTCGGCCCTTGCAACGTGGCCAAGTCTTGAGGCGGGGCACAGCGATTCTTCCGATAGGCAGCTTCTTTTTCTAACACTTTTTTCTCGATGGCTGAAAGGGCTTCAGGTATGACTTCTGGTGTGTGCAAAGGGCAGGGTCGAATGCTGACACCCCGCCTCGGCTGATACGGCCTCCTATCTACAGCCGTCACAGGAAAATTTCTTGAAATTGGGCGGTACCTAGCCTCCCAATGTTCTCAAGCAAGCCTAACAATGATTGCAAGAACTGGTGTTCCTATTGCGCATATTGCCACATCCCGGGAGGTGGTACCTTTCTCTGCGCTGGGGTGCGACAACTGTGTCTGGTGGTACGGCTCTCGCCCGCCCGAGCAGCGTCCGCTCCGAAGAGATTCGCTGCACCGGGCTCCGCTACCATGTAACACTCTTTTCTCGATGGCCGAAAGGGCTTCAGGTATGACTTCTGGTGTGTACAACGGGCAGGGTCGAATGCTGCCACTTTTGATGGCAAGTCCGGAACCGCAAAGTGTTCACGCCGGTAAGGATCCTTTAGCTTGCCCCTCACTTCAAGATTCGCCCATAAAGGACGTGCTCTGGGCCACAAACTTACATCTGCTTCGGAGCACTGGCGTCTTGACCCAACTTGAAAGGCCATCCCGAGGGAATGACATCTAGTGGAACGGAACTTGCGATTTAGAGTACTACAGTGGGCGCTTGATTCAAAAACACTATCACATTGCCCGCTGAGCTAAATCTCTTTGAGAGTCCGCATATGCGCAACCACACAAGTCTCAGCCGAAATATTGAAATCCCCGCGTGTGAGTTCGGCCTGAGAAAATCAAACGCCGGCCCCTGCTGCAGGAGTTCGAAGCCAGGCAGCTCATAATTCCTGCCACAGAAGTTTGCGTTTCAGCCCAGCAAAGATCATCAAGTGGAGTATTTTCCGAAATTCTGCCCCTGTCAAAAGTGATTCTTCGTGGGCCGTGCATGCAGTCGTTTGGAACCGCACTGTACCAAACTATGCCGATTGCCTGGCTTTCAGGTCAATCTAATGCCAGCATGCAATCTGCCCCTCCATGTCCAGATGTATTTCCAATTTCGCACCACCACAGCATCCGGAGGACAAGCCCACCAGCTTCAGGAGTTCCGGACATCCTGCGTCTCAGATGATTTTTAATCTTGACACAGACATCCCGTCAGCCCAACCAGAGTCTCCTCAAACTCCACACCACGGCTTCTTATCAGGTCTCTGATGTTTATGCAGCTTCGCAACGTTGAAGCCCTGCGACAAGTGCAGAAACTAAATTAAGTTGAATATTGCTGTTAGCTTCGGCACCGGGAAACTGGCAAGCTCATCCAAGGGCTGCGCCAGACCCAAACCCTGATCCGACATGGCCTCTCAAAGGTCTCCTGGCTGAGAACGTGCAGCTCAAAGTCGTCCGAGTCCTCGAGGGCTGAGGCGTTTGTAACTATCAGTGAGAAGGCTTTTTCGTCCAGCCATGGCGTGCACTGCTCGTCTAGGAAAGAGCTCAAAGGCTAGAAAGCTTGGCAGCCATCGAATGAACAGCTGGCAGAATGGCCTGCACGCGAATGCAGGACATACCACTAGGCCCTGCAAGTCATAAGTATCACTATCCTGCTCGTCTATCGCATCTTGGCTACGTGAAACTCCTGCAGCGCAAAAAACAACCTGAATTGCCTTGCTTGGGGAGTGTTACAAGTGTACCTGCATGTGATATCCGCAGTGGTCCTGTTGGATGACGTAGCTGGTGTCCTCGGTGTATGTCAGCAAAGGGCACAGAAAAGGATTCATGATGCGCCGAGTGGTGGCTTGGTCGTCAACCCTGACCCATGAGGCCTCACTGTGATGACCCTGGTTTGGCTGCCTTCCCAAATGCAGATAGGTCTCGAATACCGTATCACTATACTTTCCCGGTGTGAACCAAACTTTCGAGAGTGGCTCATGCAACGTGGGGCCAACCATGCCAAAAAATTGCCTGACCGTAAGAGTTTATGGGAAAGAGCTGCAAGGCCAAGACATGTGGGCTGACAACATATACGAGAAGGCTGAGCAGTATGCTTCTTTGGGGGTCAGCTGTTTGCTTCGGAGTGAAACTTGATGCCAGGTTTGGGTCAGTGCATCAAGGCTTCATCATTCACGATGGTGGTGGCGACGGTCTCACCGCTGACGACCGTCTGGACCTTCAATGGTGCTAATTCTGCAGGCGCTGTATAGCGATGTTACACAGTCAAAAACTGAAACATCAACACAACAGAGGGTAACAAACACCCAAGTTGGTCTCGGCAAATCTGTGCAGACACCGTCTAAGAAATTATGGGAGTAGAGCCCACAGAATTCATCCTTCATGACGTTTGACACCGGCCGGGCTGCTCTTCCTTTACATTATACTCCCATCACTAGCTGGCGGCCATCGATAAGAGCCCTATATGTATGTATGCATATGTATGTGTATATATATATATATATACACATACATAAATGCACCTACTGCTACCTCTGCCTTCCTGACAGAATACTACCCATCGGACAGAATCTGCAATCCAGCTGGAGACAACGGAAAGCGCAGCACCATGCTGCCGAGTTGATGAGACTATGCTGGGCGGGCAGAGTAGGCGGACGTCGAATGGACGCAGGTTGGAACGGCAACGAGCACAATAGCGGTCTACTACCACGCATGGTTGTGTGCGTGCACGTGCTCATGTTGGAACGCAAACGAGCACAAGAGCGGCCTAGCACCATGCGTGGTTTTGAGCGTGCATGAGCTCATGCTGGAACGGAAACGAGCACAGGAGTAACCCAGTAGTGTTGCTCATGCTGGAACGGAAACGAGCACAATAGCGGCCCAGGGCCATGCATGGTTGTCTGCGTGCGTAAACCAGAGTGTGGATATCGAAATGGAAAGATGCATGAACCAACAAATATAGATAATGATTGATTGATTGACTGCCTGTGGGTGCGAACACCCTTGCACTTATAGATAAACAGAGTGATACATAGATATACAGACAGACAAATAGATAGCGTGGCGACGTGGGTGCAGCTGAGAACAAACAACTACAGATAAACAGAATGAGACATAGTGACACACAGGTATACAAACAGACAAATAGCTAGCGTGGCGATGTGGGTGCAGTTGAGAACAAACAACTATAGATAGACAGAGTCATACATAGATATACAGACAGACAAATAGATAGCGTGGCGACGTGGGTGCAGCTGAGAACAAACAACTATAGATAAACAGAGTCATACATAGATATACAGACAGACAAACAGATAGCGTGGCGATGTGGGTGCAGCTGATGCTCAAGATGCCGGCCACGGGGTGCAGCTGATGCTGATGATGCGGGCGCGCATCAAGCGCATCAGTGGTCCGGCCGGGCGTTGCCAAAAAGTTGGGCGAAACGACCGTGACAAGACGTGCGCGCGGGACACCCCAAGGCCGTCGAAAGGGCAAGGCTGATGCGCATGATGCTCGCTCCAGGGCGCCGGAGTTTGTTTAAAGAACATCGCCAAACGCCGCAAAATACCGCTGAAAATGCGGGTTACGCGATGCAGCTACGGTTGGAGCCGAATGCTGTCCTAACAATGCGGATTTTCGTGAGGATGCTGAAGCAGGCCCCCCATCTTCTGCAAATCCCCTGGCGCAGCCTCCGACTCCCCCCCCCCCCCGGGTTTTGGCTTCGCCCGACAACTCCAAGACACCAAAGGCGCTTTCCAGTCATCCCGACCATGCACAAGATTCTCAAGAGGGTAGCTACCCAAGGACCCAGGAGATTTTTGACGAGCGTTATGTCACGACTGTTGTTGTTGGTAAGGCTTGTGCTCACTTCTTCCTCACGTTTCCTAGCAGCACCTCTTCTGCAGACCGCGAGCATCCCGTCCCGATCATCCTCACACCTGCACTCTTACAACCAGTTCCCTGTATACCTCTTGAGTCCTGCAACCCAATAAGTACCTACAACAACCTACAACAGCCCAAGTCTCGGAAAGGCTCCCTCAGGTTCCTCACGAGCTGAACGCAGAAGTTTCACAACTTTTCTGCCTCCTCGCCGCGGAGTGCAAGGCGTGCAAAGCGACCATTTGGCCTGGGCCGGGCTGGGCCAAAGTCACTCGTGGGGCCAACGAAAGCAAGCCAGTTCTTCAGCATGTCCGTACCAAGGGAGGGAGGGAGGGAGGGAGGGTAAAGCAACCACCAAGATGAGTTTACTCGAAACACTACTACAGAGGGAGAAGCAGAAGCATGACGTTGCTCTGGAAAGGGTACTGAACACTGCAGACGGAGCAAGGAGGTTTGCTCTTACCACGGCCATGGAAACGTCCCAATGCAAGTACTGTAAGTCTGGATTAGTTGATGGGGAGCCCAAAATGCATAGTGGCATATCATATCAATTTCGACCCCCCCGCTCCCCGCTTCGCCTTCCACTCCCCGTCCCATCCTCAGCTTGTCTGCCCGGCGAAAAGAAAAAACACACATTAATTCAAGCCTAGCTACTGTCGGCATGGATTCCGGTTTTGACGCAGCTCTAGAGCATTCTCGCTCCGGCTTTCAGAAATTTTGAGATGCTCATGCTTTGGTTTGACAGGAGTTTCGGCTTTGAAAGTGCACTCGCGTGGTATTCTGCGGTATGCTCAGTTCCTGACCCTCATTGGATTTTGTATGGATCTCGCATGAGACCACCATACCGCTTCAGCCAGACTTTGTAGATCAATTGTTTTGCAGCAGTCGTGCTGCTTGCCCGAGCTCATACAACAAAGGTCAACATGACAGCCCCCATCTGCTTAGTTCCCTTCCAGCACAGAGCGTCATAGGAGATGCTCTGAACAATGTCGACCACTGCATATCACCACGACAGCATGGCCGATGACCCAGTAAGCTTCAAACCTCATGCCACGAATGAAGATCTCCCACATCCTAAGCTGGGCTGCAGACTCTAAACGTAGGCAATAAACTCCTCTTGTAAAGCCAACTCAAGCTACCAGATTCTAAAGTGTGCAGGGACGACGGGACTTCAATCCATTATTCCTCCGTGATACCGCTGTGAGAAGCATTACTCACACACAAGTCGCACCACAACATCTTTCCCAATCTGTCCCAGTCCCAGCATCTGTTGCTGCGTCAGGTTGGAGCAAGCAGCCTGCTTGTGACGCACTAAAATCTTCGAGGTCAAGGGCTTTCAGGACACAGACAAGTTCGGTAGGACTAGTCCGTTTCCCTAGACAAAAATGCTCCCTCGCAAAAACTCGGTCGGCAGGCAGAGTCTTTTCCTCCAGTGCAGAAAAACCGGTGGTCTGGTGAAGCACAGACACGGTCGGACGTAGTTCTGGTGAACTGGACCTTTTGGCGGCGGTCGGACCGGCCGCAGAAAAGAAAAGGTGAAACAAGAACGGACGTGGGTGAAGGAAGCGGGCCACGGAAGCAGGTCTAAAAGGCACTAATGAAGTCCGGACGGACAAGAGTGCCGCAGCCGGAGCTGCAAAGCCTCCGGGAGGCGTAAAGGGGAAGGTGGAGGGCAAGTCGAAAGTGCAACCGACCAGCTGCGAGCCGATGGCTGAGCGGTCGGTTGCCGTTGCGTCCTACAACAAACATGCCTGATCTCGCTCAGTAACGTTCGGTAGGACTAGTCCGTTTCCCCAGACAGAAATGCTCCCTCGCAAGAACTCGGTCGGCAGGCAGAGTCTTTTCCTCCAGTGCAGAAACACCGGTGGTCTGGTGACACTGGTGAAGCACAGACACGGTCGGACGCAGTTCTGGTGAACTGGACCTTTTGGCGGCGGTCGGACTAAAGATGATCGAGCCGCACGCTTGACCCGTCAGGGGAACCGCCCCAAAAGCCACTCTCAAGCCAGGCATCCCACCGGACATCAAACCGCAAAGAATCCTCGGAAGGGCTCGAAAGACGGATAGAACTGCATGGGAGAAAAGGAAGCTATGACGCTCCAGTCGATCTCTACACATTCGGCCGGACAGAAACCAAGGCTTGCCGGATCGGTACCTCGGCTGAGGCCGTCAGCGACCTCATTGGAAATGCCCGGAATGTGATCCACATGCACGGAAATACGGAGTCGTTCCTGCAAGACAAAGAAGGAGCGGAGGACGGAACAAAGTCCGACGGCCATAGTGAGACCCTTCCGCGAGGCCGACTCAGCAGCCGAGTTGTCAGAACGGAACACCGTGTGACACGGCAAGTGTCTCCTAGCATGCGGTGTAGCATCAGAAGCAGTGCCGCCTCAGCGGCAAGCTCCCATGTCGCTATGTAAGACTGCAAAAGAACAGTCGGACGGAAGCCTAGCCGGTGCCACCCTCCTTCTTCTAGCCGCCTTTGCCAGGACCTCTCATTAGCCGGTCCCCTGCCCAGCTGGTGGTCTAGCGGCGCGTCCGCGGACGGGTGGATATAGCTGCCGGTAGCCTCCCATCTATCCCAGGCCCACCTGCCAGTCCAGAGCGCCGAACCACCCTGTGGCGCTAGCCGCTCCGCTAGCCTGCGCTGCCGCAGGGGCTGCTGTAGCTGTGCTAGCCGCTTCGCCAGCCCACGCTGCCGCTGAAGCCTCTCCGGTACGCTGTTGCCTAGCCGCGGCACTGGCTGCTGCCTCGGCCACCAGGGAAACTAGCCCGGCAGTGCGCCTCCGACGGCGTTGCCGAACATGCCCCCACCTGTGCCCGCCTCCTTTGGCCTTCTAGCCTCCTCGCGCGGCGCTGCAGACTCTCCGGCTTCTGGTCGCGAAGCTCTCTCATGCGGCAGGCCTCCTCGAGGCTATCTATCCTAGCCAGGAGCTCGAAGTAGGCCTTGTCCGAGATGCAGACCGGCAGCTCTTTTATCCTCCGGGTAGCCCCCGTGGTCTTCGTGGTAGTTAGCCTTTCCTCGCGCAGAGTGATCTCCTCCGGGATCATAGCCTGGAGCTCCGACCAACGGAGCCCAGACCTTGACCAACTTAGCCAGCGGTCTACCTGTGGATACAGGAAGCTCGGGATGCGGCCGATCTGGAGAGAAGGGCGCAAGGGCTACGGGCCCCAAGCCTCATCTGGCTGTTTTTGGGAAAACGTCCCGGAAAAGGCCCTGCTCCAAGGCCAGAGAGGAGAGGTTGAGAGGCTCCTTGGCGTTTGGACGGGTAAGTCGGGTAAGTCCTCCTGCTACCCAGCAAGACGAGGCCGAGTACCTTGAAGCGCTACCTGACGATCTACGGGTGCTGGCGACTTTGGCTAGGGGAGAGGCTAGTCTGGATGGAGATCGAAGGTCGCGGAGTTTGAACCAGCGAGCAGTAGATGTAGATCCCGAAGCCGACCCCGACGATGCAGGAGTTGGGGACGGATTGTCCTCAACAATGGACGATTTGTCCACTGTCTCCTTCGGCTTGCCCTTAGCCGACTCTGCGCCGGCCGCGGCACGTGGGGGGTGGAAACTCGATGCAATTGCCGACAAGAGTTTGATCCGCCCCAACGCAGGCCCACTTCGAATGTAGGAGACGAGCTGGCTGAACTCGGCATTGTATGTAAAAGTCAATGAGTCCTTCAATGCCGGCGGATCACGAATGCTTTCATGCGGCGTGGCAGGTTCCGAGGACTGGGCCATGTTGCACAATGGAGAAATGTGAGGTCAGCCGGGAGGCTATAAAAATGAAGACCCTGCCCGAACATCCAAGAAGAAAATGCAACCTGAAATGTTCATGTATGCAACTTCAGAGATGAATGCATGAACAGCTGACATGATGATGCTCCGCTCTCTACCGGACGCTGAAACCTCGCTGCATCGGAGAATGTCGCATGAGTGTCAGAAATCAGGCAGACCATAGCCAAATGCAAGGACCAGTCGCAAAGGTCCCACAAAGTGCAGCCTAACATGACCACCAATGTAGCTGAAAGCGAATCAACGCGCTAGTCGCCAGCACTCTTTGTGGAATGCAATCGCCCCGCATCATCCCAAGCGAGTGAGAATGCAGTTGCAAGCCTTGGCTCGACAGAACCTAGCACTCGCAGGGGGATGGGACACCGCCCGAAACACCCCTCTGCTGCCGCAGGCAGGCCGGCCCTCAATGCCGGCATGCAAAATGTAGGAGGACTCCGCAGAAAGAAATGTAATCTCATCTGCTATGTCCCCATCCTCGCTTTCGAAACTGGTCTCCGTCTCAGCTGGCGGCTGCAATGGAGACATCGCCTGAACCATGGGCTCATTCGGAATCGGCTCAGGTGCAGTAACCCGAGAGGGAGGCAATGTAGTGCCCGAAGAGCCCGACAATGCAATCTCGTCGCCCTCAGATGTCCTGAAAAGAATGAGCCGAGGTATCGTAAGAACCGAACTGAGATCGGCACACCAATGTAGTGGGGGCTCCGCTGGCAAGAATGTAATGCCGTGCAGCAACGGTGTACGAGCAACCCAACCGGCTCGCACTCGTTGGATAAATGTATCCTGCGCAATGATCAATGGAGAAACGTCGTCCCTCCCGTACAATGTACTGGACGAAGCGAATGTATGATGTCCCTGCATATGCCTTACCTCCAGAGACATGTCAAGCTGGCGGAAAAGGCCAGCAATGTAACCTTCATACTATGCAATGTATAGTGCGAGATCTGCTCTCTCGGGATGCCCCCCCACAACGCAAGAAGATGCCGGAGGCAAGAAAGAGTCTCAGCATAGGTGAGAGGGCGAATGGAGTCCTTGTCATAATATGCAAAAATGTAGTCTGGAACATCCGTCCCCAGAGAGGCCACATCCCAACACTTTTCCAATGTAAGAGCCAGGATTTTCCCATGGGAAGAAGGTAAAGCCCACACGACAGGCACCCAAATGGCATGAACTTGCGTGACTTGGTACGATAGGCCACCGACCGAAAGCTGTCAAAATCAATGTACATGTCCCGCAATCGAGTATGCTGAGAGTCGGAGAACCTCAAGCTACACCAAATGCACAGCAGCACGGCTCCAGCGAATGAAATCTCTGCTTCATCGAAATGGCCGAGGACTATCTCCGTCTCTAACCACAACATAAATGAAAGTGGTAGTGGAATGGCTTCTCGCTTGATGGTGTCTGACTGCCACGAGCGGCTATGAAAGAGACCTTGATACAAGGATGGAAAGTTATCTGGCTGGACACTTGCAGCGAACCATCTGATCGCTTTCAAAACGTTCAGAGAATGCACTGATGCATGATTCGAGCGAGATCGTTGCAAAACGGGAATGGAATCAACGAGCTGCACCTGAGATAAACCGACCACGGAGATGTCGAGTTCCTGCAATGTATTGAACAACTGCCACAACACCGATATGTACCGGAGGGCAGTGACATCAGAAATGCGCCGAAGGAGCTGTTCCAACAATGCAGCTTTGTTGCCGCTCGCCAAAATGTCTTGAAGCAGCTTGGAACACAATGCAACCAACTCAAACAGAGGAAGCCAGAGATGCAAAGCCCGCTCCCACTGTCGTGAATGTATCTCTGTATGCTGCAACACTTTGGACTCGCCCTTCTGATGCACTCTGGGGGCGCCAGCCATCTTCAGGCGCTTCACAGAGCTCGCCGATGGAGGTAAATCCCTCCGGGGCAGTGTCGCAGCTGGGCCCGGGTCGGTTGCTGGATGCAATGCAGCCGACTTACTGCAGACGCCGGCAGGTGACCGTTGAGGCTCCGACTCCGACGTGTACAATGCATAAAACCCCGTCTGGCAGGAGTAGGCCTTGGATTCGGAGTGGGGCGAATCGGTGCCTCCCATCCTCGGGCAGGGTACAAGATTCGAGACGGCACCGCCTTGGCATCCACTGAGGAGCGATGCACGATCGAATGCAAAGAGCTAGGTCGTGAAAAAGTATCTGAGATGCCCGAAGCCGGGCTTGGCTTCGGAGGCGGCCTGACTGCATCCGCCCTCGTAGGGGGCGCCGAAACATAAGTAACCTCAAGGCCCGAGCCACTCACAGAAGAAGGCATGGGCTGTGCTCCCCGCCGGTTGTCTGGCCACAGAGGACCTCGACGAACTGGAGAGAAAGAACTCGCATCCTGATCCGTCACACCTGAAACACAGGGCAGGGAATGCAATCTTTCCGCAGAACTAGACGGAGGTATAGACGGAATGCACCACGATTTGTCACTAGGCGAGGACTCTGGTGCCATAGCCGCATCCAAATCAGCATCCTGAACATAATTTTCGACCA